GCCACTTGACAACAAGCCCAGCCCTACAGCCCCATAGGGGACGGCAGTAGCAGGGACACGCTCTGCTGCAGAGCCTTTGGGGCTGAAATGAAGGAACTTCAGCTGGAAGCCTTTTGTCATCGCAGGAAGCGTCTGGAGGCTCAAAGCTCGGCAGCGGCATCACTTGAAGCCCTGCTCAGAGCTTTCCTGTCTGCAGAGGAAATCATCCCTGCACGCATTTCTGGTCCGGGCTTCCTCTGCTCCCGTGGTCCCATTGGTGCCTGAGAAGGAAGGGATGGAGAGAGCTGCCTGGGGAGCACTGGGAGCACCCAAGCGCCGAGCTCCAGCCTATGGTGGCTGGGTGAGATGTGCAGACACGGCCCTGATGCCCATGCAGCCTGCCCCCAACTTGTTCCCAATGTGTCCCCAGCGTATCTTATTCCTATCCCCAACCTATTCCCAATCTAACCCCAGCCTGTCCCCAACCTATTCCCAGCCTGTCCCCCACATGTCCCCAGGACACATCCTGTCCCCATTGAGCTCCAGGGGATGGTGTTTACGTCCAGCTCCACTGTGTGCCAGGGAAGCCCCAGGCTCTGTTGGGCTCTTTTGGGGTGGCCATCCTGGAGGAGCCGAGGGTTGGATGATGCACATAACCCCCAGTCCCATGTGTACTCCCCCCCCCTTTCCTTCCACTTAGAGTCATTTTTAAAAATGGCACCGTGATAGAGCCCAATCATTGCAGCTAATTACATCTCACTAAACAGATGTAAATAATGCTTATCTGTCTGGAGCTGCCTAAATTATCAGTTGGACAAGCTGGCTTGGGAATGAAGGATTTCTCTCTGAGTGCAGCCTGGGAGATGAATGCACTCTGGTGCCAGGCAGCTGCTGGGACCACACAGTCACCACCAGCATCTGAGAGAGAGTCCCTGAGCCAGCACAGCCCTCAGCACATGGGTGACATCTGCTCAGTGTGACACCCAGCTCAGCACTGTGGGGACAAACCCCTCTGTGCCCTCCCCTTGTAGCCTGTAGCCTGCAGGACTGGCATTGCAATCCACGTGCTGAGTTATTGCAGTCATTACACGCAGAAGTGCGTTGCAGGGTGAGGTTGTCAGTGAAGCAAAGATTGATTTCCCGTTCTCAGACGTGAGAAGCAAGCTCTGTGTTTTTTCCTTTTCCTCCCAGGCTGTGCTGTGGGGGCTGTTCACTCCTCGCTGCACAGCAACTGGCCTTGGTGCGATAATTAACAGCCGTGTAATTGCCGCAATACAACTTCTCTGTGTTGATAAGGCCGCAGGGAGCTCTGCCCAGCTGTGTCCCTGGCTATGGGGACATGTCCCGTGGGCTGGGGCACCCCGCATCCCTCTGGCCTCAGCAGGATTTATTGGGCTGGAGCAGCACTCTGAGATAAGGCCGTGATTACAGTGTGCTGAATCAGGGCTGCTGCGCCTCCGGCTTGCGCTGACTCAGGGCTGGATCCTGGGCAGGACTGAGCCCCCCCTCACCCCCAACCCCCAGCTCAGAGCCCTCTGTGACAGCATGCTGCTTGAGCTGGACATGGGAGATGGGAACAGGACATGGGGCAGAGGATGTAGGATGTGGAGATGGGTACCGGTGTGGCACCAATGTGGCGGGGGTTGTGGGAATGGGCACCACAATGGCTGTGGGTTCAGGGCATGGGGCATGGACACAGGGCATTGGAGGGCAGGGTATGGGGATAGAGCATGGAGACAGAATGCAGGGCATGGTCACAAGGCATGAGGACTAGGCATGGGAACAGAGCATGGGACATGGGCACAGGGCAGGGGCATGGGCATGGGCATGGGGGTAGGGCATGGGGACCAGGGCATGGGGCATGGGCATAACACATGGGGACAGGGCATGGGACATGGACATGGGACATGGGGACAGGAAATGGACACAGTACATGAATTCAGGGCATGGGACACGGTCATGAGCACCAGCACTGGGCATGGGCACAGGGCATGGGACAAGGGCACAAGCATGGGGCACAGGCATCTGCGTAGCACAGCATATGGGCACAGGGGCATGGAGCTGGGCACCAGCATAGCATGGAGTGTAGGAATGGGCATCGGTGTGGTGATGGATATGGGGCATGGGAGCGGGGCATGGATGTAGAGCACGGGACTTGGGCACGGGTTCTGGCAGGGGGCATGGGCACCACCATGGTCATGGGGATGGGGCATGGGGATGGGAGTAGGGCACCCCTGCAGAGCATGGGACGTTGGCACAGGCCGTGATGGTGGCACAATATCCAGCTCCAAGCGTGCTGAATGCAAGCCCGGGTCCTGTAAAACATACAGGCAAGCTCCAACGGTGCAGTGAGCAGCACAGGAGCTGCGGGGTGCCCTGGGGCTGGGGCTGGTGCGGGGCACTGGTGGTTATGCGGATCACCGATCCCCTCTGCTGGTCGGCACTGGGATAACTGGTCATCGGCAACCGGGCTTGGCAGGGGCTGGGGTCGGGCCGCTGCAGCCTGCGGGGGGGGGGAGTGAGGCAGCCTGCGTGACACGGCGTGTGCGTTGCACCAACACGAGCACGGGCACGGCGTGGGGACACCAGGTGTGGGCAGCATCATGGGCATGGGAGGTGGCACTTGGGTTATGGTGCAGGAAACAATCCTTGCTAGGTGTCCCGAGGGCACCGGGGCTGCGGTCACGCAGGGTCCTGGCACCTCACCTCACTCCATCACCTCTCACTGGAGATCCTTTGGCAGCCTACAGCCTTGCTGTGGTGGGGGATGGCAGCAGAGAGATGCGGGGGCACGGGGAAATGCTCACGCTCCCCATAGGTGCTCTGTGGGTACACACACTCCCCAGATATGTGTGGGGGACCACACAGCCACCAGGAATGGTGGGGTAGCAGCCCCACAGTGCTGCTCAAAGCCATCCTGCAGGAAACTCAGCGTCAGCTCTCACCCCGACTTCGTGATCCTGACAATGACCCCTGCTCTCAGCTCTGTGCCCTCACCCCAGATTTTAGGCAGAGTTTCATAGGTGACGCTGCCATACCCAATACGTAGGACTGGGACTGTGTGGCTGTGGGCTCCATGCATCTGTCTTAGGCTCCATCCAGCCCCAAAGCCCCAAATCCAGCACCTCCTGGATGTCAGGAGCGTGGCGATGCTGGATGCGGCACCTCCTTCCCCTCCTTGCACCCATCATCTGCAGGATGCCCCCCAGCCCTCACCACCCCATCCAACCCTTTGCGCAGGAGAGGAGGGTCCCTGAAGGCAGGGCTCCTGCCCTGTGCTGTTTCTGCCTTCAGACAGATGATGCTTGGCCTGACGGGGAGATCGACAGCGAGAAGGGAAAGCCATATAAATACCTCGCTCGTAAATAGCAGTCTGGTATTTATAGCCGATGGTTGGCAGCGAGTCCGGTGGTTCTGACAAACCAAACTCCAGCTTATTTTTAACAAAGTGTGGAAGAGAGTGGGTCTGGAAGTGGAGGATGGATGCAGACGCCTGACTGGCCCAGGGCTGCTGCTCACCTGCGGGGCTGCGTCCTCCTCTCACTGCTGTCCTGCATCCTGCCCTGCAGTGACAGGAGGGAAGCATCTTTACAGCCCAGCTTCTTCTATCTAACAGCCCCTTCTGAGCCATATTTGCTGCAAACACGGTGAGAACCTGAAGCAATGTCTGCTCCTCAGCCCACGGCGCAGCCCCAGGCTGATGGAGAGCAGAAATAAGGCCACAGGTGGATGTGTGGGCATGCAGCAGACAGCTGGCACTGTGTCCTGTGGAGTCTCTGTCTCCATGCAGCCTCCATGCTCTGCATCACAGCTCTGCAGGTGCATCCTCCCTGGCACTACCATAGGCACCAGGCATGGGATGTGAGCTCCAGAATGGAAATGGAGCATGGGATGTGGGAAATGGGAACCTTCATGGGCGTGGGGCATGAGACATGAGCTCTGGAATGGGGCATGGGACATTGGGTGTGGGCATGGGCTCCAGAATGTGTGTAGGGCATGGGACATTGGGCATGGGGACTGGCAGGAGGCATATGGCATGGATCATGAGGTATGGGCCCTGTCATGAATGTGGGGTGGTGAACCATCTGGGCATGGAACACAGGACATGGGACACGGCACCATTGTGGGTATGGGACGTGGGGCATGGGGCATGGGCACTGTCATAGGCACAGGGTATGGGGCATGGGCACCATCATGGGTGTGGGGAACATGGTTTGAGACATGGGGCATGGGCACCATCACGGGCATGGGATGTGGGACGTGGGCACTGGCACCAACATGACGTGGAGCATGGGAATGGGTACCACCACGGTCATGGGCACAGGGCGTGGGGATGGGAACCCTGCATCCCCCCCACCATCAAAATGCCCCCTAGCAGCACGGATGAGCACACAGCTCTTGCTCATTGCCCATCACGTGTGGGTGGCCGCAGGAGAAACACCAGTGTCTGCATCCCCTGCAGCGCCGGGGGCGGGGGGGGCATTTTGCTGCAAAATCAACCTGAACCGGCAGAGTGTGGGGGGGGGGAAGGGGGGGAATGGGAGAAGGCTGCTTACTGCCCTATGAAGCAAGGGGAGGGGAGGGGGGAGGGGGGGTGAGCGATATACTGCGAAATATTATTGCGAAATATTGCAAAAATAAATAAAAAAAAAGAAATCGGAAAAAAATGGAGGGGGAAAAAAATAAAGTAAAAAAACAAACAAACAAACAAAAGATTGCAAAACGCATTGCCGATAAGTACAGCAAAACACCGTACAATAGGGCGGGGGGGGGGGGGGGGGTGCGCACCTCGGAGGGGGTGCATGGAGCTCCGGGGGAGGGGGGGGAGCGGGGAAGGCGGGCTCTGCGGTGCGGAGCGGGGCGGGCAGAGGGCGGAGCGCAGTGACGCGCATCCCTCCCCCCCTCCTCCCCCCCCAACCCCGCATCCCGGTCCCGCCTCCTGCGCGCAGTCAGCTGAGCCCCGCCGCGGCCAGCGAAGCCGTGTGCCCCCCCCCAACCCTGCGCCCCCCCCCCCTTCCCCCCCCAGCCCCCTCCTCTCCCCAAAGCGGAGCCGAGGGGACAGGCGCTGGGGAGGCGGCGGAGCGCTGCGTTTACCGCTTTCTGCGTGTGTTTGGGGATTCCTCTCCCCCCCCCCCCCCCCCCCCCGACGTCGTGCATCGGTGAGGACCCCCCCTTCAGCGAGGCGACATGGCTCCCATCGGGCTGAAGGCTGTGGTCGGAGAAAGTAAGAGTTAGATGGGGGGGGGGGGAAGACGGGATGGATTGAGAAATGATTTTTTTTGGGGGGGGGGGGTCTTGGGGGAGGTCGGGCTGGGAGCTTCCTGCGGGGAAATGCCCGCGAGCGGGGGATGCTGCGGATGCGCAATACGGAGCTCGGGGGGCGGCATCGGATGGTGGAGCCTTGCGGGGAAGGGGGGGTGGGAGGGGGATGAAGGGAGGGCATGAGGACAGGCGGCCGGGGTGGGGGTCGCCGCCTCCATTTGTATTTTATTTATACGTATGCACATATAGGATATATTGGGGTGTTTTGAAGCTGTCGGGATTTTTCTGCAGCGCTGGAGGATGGGGGGGGAGGGGGGCGAGAAAAAATGGGGGTTCAATGTGGGGAAGCGGCGGAGCCGCTGTGCCCGCAGCTCTCTGCAGCGGTCGCCCCGTCGGGGCGCGACGTGCGGCCCCACTGCGGGGTCGGGGGGGGTTGGGGGGGGGGTCTGAGCGCCGCGGGGGGGGCTGTGCGGAAATGCCGCCGAGCCGCCAGGCCGCTTTGTCTGCACCAAACCCTGCCTGCCTGTAATCGCAATGATGGTGATGAGTTTTCTTTTCCCCCGGTGCCCCCTCTCACCCCACACCTCGTGTCGCCCCCCCCCCCCCCCCAACTCGGGGTGGGGGGGGGGGGGGGGATTTTCGGTGCCCTTCGGGGTCGCTATTTTTGGCCGCGGGGTTGGAGCGGGGTTCGCTTCCTCCTTCCCTGGCTGTTGCAAGCTGATATTGCACCGCCCCATGGCGGCTGGACGGGGGGGGGGGGGGGGAGAAAGAGAACCTTCACCGGGGAAAAAGAAGCAGAAAAAAAAAGAAAGAGCAAAAAGGGGCAGGAAGCGGTGAGAACATTCCCTCCCCCCCCCCCCCCCCACGGCCATGGCCGCCCGTCTTGTTGGTTTTATTGCCGTAGCACCGCCGCCAACCGGGTGTGCTTTGAAGGGGAGGGGGGGGGGGAAATGGTCGGTGTTTATTACCGTGAAAAGGGGAGGGAAGGGGGGGGGGGGTGGGAAAATGGGAGCAATCCCCGAGGCTGAGAGATGGCTGCGGAGGCGGCCGACCCCTCCCGCAGCGGTGCGGATGGCGCGGCCGGAGCTGGTGGTGTGATTGGTGACTGGGGGGGGGGCGCGGGGTGTGCTGCCCTGCTGTGCTCCCGCAGCTGCATCATTGGGGCTGCAGGGACAAATGCAGGGAGATGTGCCCTCCTACATCCAACCTCCTACATCCAACCTCCCCACCCCACTTCCCGGCTGCTGTGCTGCAAGGTTGGCTTTGAGGGGGTAAAGGAGACCCCCAGTGCAGCTCAGTGGGGCTGGATGCCCCCCCCCAGCTGAAGCAGGGGCACTGCGTGTCCCTTCACTTCCATTCGTTGTCAGTGTGCTGGCGGGGAAGGGGAGGGGGAAGTGTCTGTGTGTGTGTGTGTGTGTGTGCGCACATCTCTCAGTCCTTCCTTCTGCAGTTGTAACAAACCCACCCGTTCCTCCCCAAAAACACCCCTACTGATGGAGAAATGGGGTTCAGTAACAGCCTTACCGTGGGGTGTCCGGGAGGTGCCAGCAGAATGCTGCATAGGATGGAGGACTGCAAACCCTGCAGAGCTCCCCACCCTCTGTATAGGATCCCAGGGTTCTGAGGGCTGTGGTGATCGGCTCCCACCTTGGGGTGCTGGAGCTGCTCCCCACTGCTGCAGGGATTCACTCACTGCTGCAGCCCTGCATCCCTCGGGCATGGATTCCCCAATGGAGGAGGAGGAAGAGATGTTTCCTGAGGGTGGAGGTCCCAGCCCTTGCCCTGCAGCTGACCCGAGGGCAGCATCTCTCTGGGGGTTCCTTGGAGGAGGGCAGGAGGCAAGGATGCTGCGCACTGCCACGGCCCCACCTCCAGCTCTGCGTTCTGCCCTGGCAGCCCTCCAGGATGGGATTATTCCCCTGAGCAGCTGCTGCCACAGTGCACCGAAGGGCCCTGAGCTGGGAGCTGGCAGCAAGAGGACAGCTGCCACAGGTGCCCCATGTCCCCTAGTTGTCACCCTTTGCCCCCCTGCTTGTCACCCCGCATTGCTGCAAGGCTGTCCCTACACCTTGCCAGGTCCTGGCGAGCTGCTGCTCCTGGGGAGTGCTATTGGGAAGGCAGTGCAGACAGGAAAAATCCTGCAGGAGGTGGTGCCAGGCTCAGTGCCTGCACTCCTGCAGCCGTGAGGAGGAGGAGGGTGGGCTCACTGCACCGAGCTGTCTCCAGCAGCAATGGGCTGCACTGTGTTCTGAAAGCCCAGAAGCACCTTTGCCTGCGGGAGGAGAGAGGCATCCCCGGAGCCATCCTTTTCTCTCCAAGGGTGGAGGAAGCACAGCCCTCCCGGACCCTCCTGCCCTCAGGACAGCAGCCGGTCCCCCCTTGGAGCATCCTCGTGTCAGGCTGCACCTCCAGACCCGCAGTGCCACGTCCCCTTCCCTAACCCAGACAGCACACAGCGTGGCACCTCCCTGGGCACACTGCTGTCTGCAGGGCACGGCCAGGCCTCGGGGTGTGCGTGGTTGGAGCGTGACTCAGCCAGGCTGCGTGGGGCACCATTGCCTTTGCTAAGGCGCAGGGGGATGCCAGAGGCACAGTGCTGCTTGCTGAGGATGCTCTGGGGCACAACAAAACACATGTGTTGCCCTGTAGCCAAGCAGAAGATGATGAAGAGTTCAGGACCAGGATGGGGATGTTGCCTTCCTGGTGTGCTCTGCAACTAGGTGGGCAGGGAGGGGACCTCTGGGCCCCATCCTTATGGTTGGAGCAGGCACTGAAGCCAAGCCTCCTCTGAGGCCTCAGCATCTGTCCTCTTGGGATCCATCCTTGCCTGCAGCATTGGCTGCATGGCTTCCACAACCACAAACGGCATGGAGCACGGTCTGCACCCTGGCATGGAAATATTCATCCATCCTTCTCCATGGAACATACCGAGAGTGGCAGACCTCGCTTCAGCAGATCTGCACCCAACCACTGGTGTGTGCGTGTGAAACGAGGCTGAGAAAGGCACTAACATGAAGCCTTTCCATCTTAAAAAATGTCCTGAGAGGAATCACGGGATCGTAGAATTATTAAGGTTGGAAAAGACCTCCGAGATCATCCCTGAGCATTTGCAAAGAGAGTCATCATCACGTGGCTCTGGCTGCACGCTGAGGAGCAGATGCTGTGTCCACCAACTCGCCATGCAGGAGAGAGCTCAGAGAGAGCAAAAATAGAGCAGCTGAAGGCGCATTGCCGCGTGGGCTCCATGCAGCCCATTGGGAACCCACTATGGGAGCAGCAAAGACCACTTGGAGCTGTTGGTTTGTAAACACAACGCCCTCCAGCCGTCTCGTTGAGGTCAAGATGGCTTTTGGCTATGGTGAGAGATGCCAGGTAGGCTTTGCATCCCATAAATGAAGTTATTTTCTATGCCCTGGCTAAGGCTGATGGCCTGCTTGCCATCCACAGAGCCTGTTTGCTTGAGAGGTGTTTGGGGGATGGTGCAGGCACCTGTAGCTGCCCGGATGAGGAGGTCAATGCACTGCCTACTACGTTCGACGTGGTTGTGTCTATGGAATGCTCACCCTGTCTTAAGTAATCAGTCAATGAACCAGCAGGAAGCAGTTGCCAGGCCAACCCGAAGGCAACACGTTTCGTTTCAAAGATGCGTCGTGACAGCTCTTGGAGAGAAGTGGGTTTGGAGCAAACCTCACCGCGCGTTTCACTAAAATGGATTGGGTTGGGAGTGACCTCACATCTCACCCAGTTCCAACCCAGATTTCTGGGATTCAGCACTCCAGGACTGCTCCGGGGTTTGGATCCCGAAATGGAGGGCATGGAAGGACTGAGCCTTGCTAGGGAAAAAGTCCATGGGTAGGACTATCCTTATCCTGTAGGACCGTCCTTGTCCTGTGGGGCCTTGCCATCCATTAAGGCCAACGTATGCCACACATGAGGTCCTGGGATGTGCTGAGTAAAGCAGAAATGGGATGTACTGCTCAAGCAGAAATGGGATGTTCTCCAGAGCAGCATCCCTCACCAGGAGGTGCTCCAGGTTGGGGTGCTGGATGGGGCAAGGCCACTTCGTCATTAGACGTGGGACTGGGACTGCTCGTTAAGCCTCAGGCTCTTTCTGAAGCAGGCTAATTGGACACCTCAAAATGAATCTGTGTCCACAAGCTGTGGTGGGCTCAAGCCATTCCCCCCACACCCAGCTGGAGATGTAGGGCCACTTCAGTGCCAGCAGCCCAGGCTAAGCTTCTTGGAGTGACGGATGGGCTGCAGTCCTATTAGGCCACCGTGTCACCAGCTCCTGGCTCTGCATGAAGACGATGCCAGGGGTCACTTTCCTGCCAACTGTCACCCCAAGAAAGAGCCCTACTGAGTGAGATGGAGCCTGCTTTCTTCCCAGGATGGCACTTCTGGGTCTATTGCTCAGCGTGCTGCACGGAGGTCCATTTGCAGGTGGGATGCACTCCCTTCTCTGGAGGTGTTGGTGTCTTCTCTGTGTTGAAAGATAGACCCAGAGCTGTCTGTGAGATCTATTCTCAGCTGAAGTTGTGATTAAAATCCTTCTACCCTGAAGGAAGCAGATGCACTGTGGTAGGTTCAGACAAGCCAAGCACTGAAGGCACCGGATCAGATCTGCAGATGTATTTTTCCCCTGGAGCCTGGTTTATCTCCAAGACAAAAAGCCTTGGCTGTGAGCATCACCGGCTGATGAGGACACCCTGCAGCCTCCAACCTGCTGACATGGGAGCATCCCTTCCCCGTGGCCCATGGCTGCGTGCAGGATGCTGTCCCAGCCTCCTTCCTTCCTCCCTGCCCTGCAGCAAACATGGCTGCACTCTCAGGGCTGGGATTCCTGCCCCACGCTCCCTCCCCCAGTCAGGGTTGCCGGGGTGCTGGCTGCAGGGTGTGGGACGTGCTGGTAAACAGCACTGTTATTCCTGGATCCTCGCTCAGGGGAAGGAGCCAAACATGAGTAATGAGGAGAGAGCAAGGTCCTCAGCAGGATCCGGAAATGTCCATCACCGAACTTGGTTCCTGCTGGCACCCATCCCTCCCCTGGGGACCGGGGATCAGCAGAACCCTGCAGGAGGACGGCGCTGAGCAGAGGATGTGACGGCGCAGCTGATGGATGCGAGCCTGGCCGTGTGGTTTGGTGGCACATCCCTGTTCTGTAGGGACTAGCAGCCTGGGAAAGGGGACCACTGGGCACAGCTCTATAGGCTCGGGTTGTTGCACACCTCGGTGACCCATCAACACCCGCCCCAAAGGTGACATCCCCACCATAGGAGCAGCCCTGGCACCTCGGGTGGCCCTGTGGTGACAGCACGGGGACGGCCCCCAGCTGGTTGTGTAAGCGTGCAGGGCTGGGATGCAAAATGGGATTGTGGGGGATTACAAGGAGCAGGTTGAGGCCGCTTGATTCTTGTTTCTAAAAGGAGCCCTTAAGCTGCTGTTGTTGTCCTGGTGCTTTGGATTAGGGCTGTGGTGTGTGGGTGGCCCAAAGGGACCCCTCCCATCCCCTTCCCATCCTCTTTTGGGCTCTGCTCAGTGCTCCCCTCTGAGCCCTTGAGTACCATGTGTGTGTGCTGGGGGTGATCCCCTCCACCCCAGCCTCCAAAACACCCCCACCACACATCGCCAGGGAATGGAGCATCCCAGGGTGCTGCAGCTGGGCTCGGGGTGCTCAGCCCAACCCATCTCTTCCTCTTGCAGAAATTATGCACGATGTGATCCGGAAGGTGAAGAAGAAGGGAGAATGGAAGGTGAGCAAGGCTGCAGGAGAAGGAGGGTTGGAAGGATAGAGCTGGGAAGGAGTGGGAGCAGGTGGGGTGGTTCCCTGCTGCCCCATCCCTACCTGATGGCTGCTGTCCCCAGGTGCTGGTGGTGGACCAGCTCAGCATGCGCATGCTGTCCTCCTGCTGCAAAATGACCGACATCATGACGGAGGGCATCACAAGTGAGTACCAGCACCGTGCACCTCTCGCTGTGGGGGGGATGCAGCCACCCCTCTCCATCTCACACAATGTCTGTCGCACAGACAAACCCACTGCTCCTCCCAGGGCTGCTTCTTAATTCTATGGGGCAGCGACGGGTTGCAGAGGGCAGGGGGTGCGTTGGACACTCACAGGCTCTACTGCAGTGGGATGTGCTCATGTACCCTTTTTTTTGCCCCCCAGTTGTGGAGGACATCAACAAGCGCCGGGAGCCGCTGCCCAGCCTGGAGGCTGTCTATCTTATCACACCCTCTGAGAAGGTGAGCTGGGGCAGAGGGGTGGGTGGCCACACTGGGATGGGCAGTGGTGCCCATGGGATGTATTGGGGCTGTGGCACAAGTTGCAGGGTTCCCTGTGGGGCTGGACGTAGGGCTGTCCTGCCCAGCCCCGACGCTCCCTTCTTTTTTGCAGTCTGTCCACTCCCTCATCAGTGACTTCAAGGACCCCCCCACCTCCAAGTACAGAGCAGCCCACGTCTTCTTCACCGACTGTGAGTACCCACAGGGCACTGAAGGCGGGTAGAAGGGGAGAAGGGGGTCAGGTTTCTTCATACCAAAAGTGGGCTTTGGGCTCCCTGATCCCAAGGGCAGGGCATCACATCCCTCCATTGCAAATGCATTGTGCAGACCAAGAAAAGGGGAGATGCTGCCACTGAAACGTGCACAAGAAAGCAGGGTAGGAGGGATACTTGGGGCAGGGCAGGACCGTGGGAGCCTGACCACCACCTTGTCCTGAGCACTGCTTTCCCCTGCTCCCTGCAGCCTGCCCCGATGCCCTGTTCAATGAGCTGGTGAAGTCCCGTGCTGCCAAGGTCATCAAGACCCTGACCGAGATCAACATTGCCTTCCTGCCCTCTGAGTCCCAGGTGGGTGAGGGCTGGGGATGTCCCCTGCACGTGACCTGGAGGGGGATGCTTGAGTTCTCCCCCTCATCAGTGTCTCTGTAAGAGCTGTGAAGGCACCACGATCCCCATCCTGGCGCTGCTCCCTACACTCTGTCTCTTTTGATTACGTCTCAGGGCTGATCCACTGTGGGGATTTAGCAGCCGTGCTGCCTTCTGGCACTGCACTGCCAAGGGCACCGAGTGCTGTGGGGACGAGGGGGACAGGGAGGGACAGATGGCATCGGATTCCAGGGAAGATCACGGTGAGGTTGAGTGGGAGATGGGCTTCTTGGCAGTCCAAGAGCAGGGGAAGGGCAGGGGGTCAGGACACCCCAAACATTGCTGAATTTGAACCCCTCAGCTCTCCGGTTTGGGATGGAACCCCACATCTGTTTGGGTTGGTGTATGTTGTCCCAGCCCATGAGGATGTCCCTACTGCCTCTCCCTTCTGACCACCCCCTGCTGCCCTCCCCAGGTTTACTCCCTGGATTCAGCAGACTCCTTCCAAAGCTTCTACAGTCCTCACAAGGCGCAGATGAAGAACCCCATCCTGGAGAGGCTGGCGGAGCAGATTGCCACTCTGTGTGCCACACTGAAGGAGTACCCAGCCGTGCGGTACCGTGGGTAAGGCTGCAGGGTTGGCAGGTGGAAGACTTAAAGCCAGGGGATGCTCTGCAGAGCTGGGGTTCCAGAACCTGGAATCCAGGGGGTGTCTCCTGTGGGACAGACCAAAGGAAAGCAGAGCATCGTGTTCCCTGAGGAGAGGTGAAAAGGAGCAGCAAATGGTGCTCCGGTCCCATTTCTCCCCTGAGCCAAGAACATCACAGCAACTCCTGCCCACCCTTTGCACAGCCAGGGGCTGATGTCCCTTCCCCCTTCCCTAGGGACTACAAGGACAACGCCATGCTGGCGCAGCTCATCCAGGACAAGCTGGATGCCTACAAGGCTGATGACCCCACTATGGGTGAGGTGAGTGGGGTTGGGGATGGGGTGGCATCTCACTGCTGTACATCAGCTCAGGATGGCACTGGGGACCCCAACACCTGCTGATGGCCCTGCTGGTGGCTCTGTAGGGTCCGGACAAGGCTCGCTCCCAGCTCCTCATCCTGGATCGTGGCTTCGACCCCGCGTCCCCAGTGCTACACGAGCTGACCTTTCAGGCTATGAGCTATGACTTGCTGCCCATCGAGAACGATGTCTACAAGTGAGTGAGTGCCACTGGTGGGGAGCTGGGTGCTGGCAGCCCTCCTGACGTGGGCAGCTTTGACCACCTTCAGCCCATTGCCCTTTCCCAGTCTTTAAGCGAGTGGAAGGTGGCAAGACGTGACACCAAGCTGAAGGATTGTCACCCAGCTGTTGGCAGAGCTGAGTGGCCTCTGTGTCCCTTGTGGTCCCACCATATCCCCCCCTGTATCCCTCCATGTTTTCCCTGCATCACCCTGTGTCCCCCCCATGTCCCTCCATGATCCCTCCATGCTGCCCTATCCTTTGTCACCCCATGCCCCCTCTAGTCCTTCCTTCCATGGTCCCTTGTGTCCTTCCATGGTCCTTCCATGGTCCCTCCGTGTTCTCCCACGTCCTTCTGTGGTCCCTCTGTGATCCTTCCATGTCACCCTGTGCTGTGTCACCCCGTGCCTCGCATGTCCCCATGTCTCTCCTTGCCCCCCTGACCCACCGTGCCTTGTTCCCCTTCCCAGATATGAGACAAGTGGCATCGGGGAGGCGCGGGTGAAGGAGGTTCTCCTGGATGAGGATGATGACCTCTGGGTCTCCCTGCGCCACAAGCACATCGCCGAGGTGTCCCAGTGAGTGTCCCTGTGGGCTGCCCCACAGCACCCAGCCCTGTGGGTTGATTCCCTCTGTGCTGATGGCTGTGTCCTCCTCCCTGTTCCCAGGGAAGTGACCCGGTCCCTGAAGGAGTTCTCATCAAGCAAGAGGATGAACACAGGCGATAAGGTGACATCTCCCAGTGGGAGCTCGTGCATGGCCAAGGCTTTTGGGGACACCATTAAGGGCTGTGGCAAAGTCTTTTTTGGGGGGAAGGCTAGAGGGGGAGCTGAGAAAATAGGAAACAGTGACCCCCCCCAGCGTAAGAACGAGACCCCCCCAAAAAGGGGCTGCTTGGTAGGATCATGCCCACCCTCCTTGGTGCCACCATGGATGAGTGACCACGTTCCCTTCCCTCGCAGACCACCATGAGGGACCTGTCCCAGATGCTGAAGAAGATGCCACAGTACCAGAAGGAGCTCAGCAAGGTAACGCCAAGGGAAGGGTCCTGGTGGAGCTATTGGTGCTGAGCAGCACCAGAGGTGGCTTTAAGGGGCTTCCCTATGAGGATGCCCACACCACTGGTGTCTCTGCAGTACTCCACTCACCTGCACCTGGCTGAGGACTGCATGAAGCACTACCAGGGCACGGTGGACAAGCTGTGCCGAGTGGAACAGGTACTGTTCCCCTGCCATCTCCCTGCACCCCATGGGGACTGCAATTCAGTGCCACATGTGAGCCTCGGTGGTGGGCTTGTGCTCTGCAGGACCTGGCCATGGGCACCGATGCTGAAGGCGAGAAGATCAAAGATCCCATGAGGGCCATTGTCCCCATCCTGCTGGATGGGAACGTCAGCACCTATGACAAGATCCGCATCATCCTGCTCTACATCTTCCTGAAGAATGGTGAGAGGGGGTGTGCAGGAAGGGGGCAAGGAGGAGCCAAATGTAATGGCCACCGAGGTGGGTGTCCCAGGGAGATGGTGCTCACCTGTTTCTCATGCAGGTATCACCGAGGAGAACCTGAACAAGCTGATCCAGCACGCCCAGATCCCGGCTGAAGACAGCGAGATCATCACCAACATGGCCCACCTCGGGGTGCCCATCATCACAGACGTGAGTGTCCACCCCCCAGCTCTGCACACATCCCCATGGAGTGACCCTGTGTCTCACTGTGTCCCCATCCCCTCCGTCCTCAGTCCACCCTGCGACGCCGGAGCAAGCCAGAGAGGAAGGAGCGGATCAGCGAGCAGACTTACCAGCTGTCCCGGTGGACCCCTGTCATTAAGGACATCATGGAGGTGAGGTGGTGATTGGATGTGCACTGGGGACCAGCCCAGATCCCGGCACATATCCCCAGCACGTGCCCTGCAGTGCCGGTACTTGCAGTTCTGTTGTGATTGCAGCAAGGTGGGGATGTTTGTGAAAGTGTTCCTGGTCCTATATGTACATTGCACAGCCCCAGCTGGGCTTGCACAGTGCTGGCACAGCTCCTATGCAACCCCACGATGCAAAGCCCCAACCTACTGGGATGGCCGAAGCATGGATTGCCTCTTCTTCATCCTTGCTGCATCCCCTTGGGTACCTCTTGGATCAGAGTGTCCTCATGGGGCTCGGCTGGGGCTCTGCAGGCACCGAGCCTGCGCTCCAATGATGTGAGCATCTTCCACCTGCTCACACCAACAGACAGACCAACCCAGGGCCATATTTTGGTGGGATGTCACTGCAGCCTAGCCCCTGCTTGCCCTAGCTTTAATAGTTCTTAAACTGCACAAATGCACTCACCTCGTTTTGTGCCCAGCTCCCCCCCACCCTCCCAAAGCTCGCTCCCAGATCAGAGCTGAACCCAGCCCCACTGCACCAACGGGGCTTTGCCTGCTTAGTATCAGCGCTGCAGGGGCTTGGGGGTAGGGCCACCAAGGGCTGGGGATGGGGGCACTTGGCTGAGCCCTACGTGGCCGTATCCCTGCAGGATGCCATCGAGGACAAGCTGGACACCAAGCACTACCCGTACATCTCCACCCGCTCCTCTGCCTCCTTCAGCACCACGGCTGTCAGGTGGGTCCCCCTGGTGCCATCCTCCATGAGCAGGGGGGCTGTGACACATCACCCCCTATACACGAGCCTCCCGTGCCTCGGTTTCCTTTCCTAACCCCTCTCTCCATCTCTAGTGCTCGCTACGGCCACTGGCACAAGAACAAGGCCCCCGGCGAGTACCGCAGCGGCCCCCGCCTCATCATCTTCATCCTGGGGGGGGTGAGCATGAACGAGATGCGCTGCGCCTATGAGGTGACGCAAGCCAGCGGCAAGTGGGAGGTGCTAATAGGTGAGTGGGGGCCCTGCCCAACTCCCTGCTGCTCATCCCACTCTCACCCTGCAGCATCGGCCTCCAGGTGACCACGTGAGCAGGGCAGGGGGGTCCTGCTGCTGGCACCCCCCCCCCCCCATGCTGCCCCTCTCTTTGCCCCCTTTATATCTCCCTGATGAGTTTTGTTGCCTGAAGCACGGGCAGAGCTGGTGGAGGAAGAGGGCGTTTTGCAGCCTCCTGTTGCAAGGGCTGTTGTGTGGACGTCGTGGGGGTTGTTGCAAGGAGAAATGGCTGTACAAGCTGGCGCACCAACCACGGTGTGTGCTGTGTGTGCAGTCGGGCAGCACTATGTGCAGCAGGCTGTGCACACCTGTGCAACACAGCACCTACCACATGTACAGCAGGGCGTGCAGCGTGTGTGCAATGAGACGTGCTGCACAAGCAGTGGGGCATGCAGGATGTGCAGTGCACGTACAGTGCCCTCCCAGCACCCTCTGCCTGTGGGTGCAGCCATGGCTCAGGCATCCAGCACTATAGCACAGCAGGACCGTGGGTAGGGGCAGCCCCCCAGGTCCCAAAGGAGAGCAGGGCAGACCCAGGCCAGGCGGGGGCAGCCCCTCGTTGCCCCCATCCATGTGCCAACCCCTTCCACATCTCACCCATCTCATCCCACACCGCTCCGCGACCGACTCCGCGTGCTCTGGGCAGGCAGCACATCCCTTGTCTGCACCCCAAAAACAGAACCCACACCTGAGCCCCCCGGCCCGGTGCATGCTGCTCCCCCTGGGGCACGGCCGGGCCGTCAGCCCGCTCTGTTCTCCCGCAGGTTCTACTCACATTCTCACTCCCACCAAATTTCTCATGGACCTGAGGCACCCCGACTTCAGGGACTCCACTAGGGTCTCATTTGAGGATCAGGCTCCAGCAATGGAGTGAGCCCAAGCAACCAAGTAAAGGCAGCCAACTAACGAAAAAAGAAACTCTTCCTCCCTGAAGGGCTTTCTTTGATTCTTCCGTTCTTTCGTTATGATTTGGGGTTTTTTTTTTGCTTTTTCCTTTTGATGATTTGGATTTTTGGATGAGAAAATGCTTGCAGTTCTCACCGCTGCCATGCCTGGCCCCGCAGCCCCTCCATGCCATGCGCTCCCCATAGTGCAGATGGGCTCCCCCCACTGGGGGAGGTGCGGAGCGGTGTCCTCGTGCTCAGGGAGAGATGGGTGTGAGCTCTTGGTTCTGCAGGAAATGATGGGTTTGTTGGATTCTTTGCGCCCTGTGATGGAGCTGGGACCGTGTGTGGTCCCCAGCGGGGTATATGGGGACGGTGACATCTCGTCCATGGGGCTGCCAGTCAGGTCCTGCTCCATGTCCCAGCATTGTGCAGCCCCCAGGCAAAGTGGGAACATGGGGACGCCCAGGGAAGGGACTGGGGGGCAGCTGTGAAGGAGTGGGGCTGCAGCAGGCAGCATCTCCCCACCCCTCCTCTTTTCCAACCTCTCTTAACCCAGGGATGCTCATCCCGCTGAGCCCCCCCTTGCAGTGCAGTGTCCCCCCCAGTGCCTGTGGTGGCACTCAGTAGGATCTACTGCATGTGGGCAGAGAACAGGAGGGTCTCATCATCCCTCCCCCCATCCCACCGCCCTCCAACTCCATCCATCCCCTCATCCCTCCCACTCCATCCCTTTCCCCATTCCAAGCCCCCATGGGTGTCCATCTCTCTGCAAGCATTTCCAGGTAAGACCTCGCTTGGCATGGGACTGGACCAGGGACCCCATGGGGAGCAGGGTGTGGAGCTGGGGGGGCTGGGGGAGGGGGGGGTGGAGAAAATACAACAACAGCGCTGACCCCTTGGCCCCTTCTGCCCCACAGGGTCCACGCACATCCTCACCCCACAGAAGCTGCTGGACACGCTGAAGAAGCTCAATAAAACAGAAGAGGAGAGCAGCAGTTAAAAGAAAATGCCGCCAGACCCCTCCCCAACCCCGATGCCGACTGTACCCCCAATGGGCACCGGCCTGGGGCACCCCCCCGTCCCATCCCTGTCCCCATCCCGGCCCGGCCGAGCTTTCTCTTGTTGTGTTGAGCCCCTCTTCCCCCCCCTCCCACCCCCACCCCTCCAAACCTCATTTAACCACAGGGAAGAGACAACGAATGCGAAATTAGTAAGGAAAAAAAAAAAACCAACCCAATGCATCCCATTTTAAAGAGGAAAAGATAAAACCAAAACCAAAAAAAACCCCATCATCATCATCTGTGCCCTCACCTGAGGATCTCGTTTCCCAGCGATAGTGAATGATGGTGGCAAAAAGAACAGAATCCCACCCCCCCCACACACCCTTCCTTGTGAGCTCCCTGGACGTCCCCACGGACAGACAGACCTATAGCCTTACCCTCCCCCCCTCCTCAATCCCCCCCCATGGGTTGTGGTGCCACTGTCGGTGTTCTCTCATTCTATGGGCAGAACCCATTCCCCCCCCCCCTCCTCTCCCCACCAGATGTATGCATGTATGTGGTGGTGGGGGGGGGGGGATGGAAGGGGGCTCTCCCCATACTGCCCACCCCCGAACCCTCACAAAGGGACCAGAAGGGTCGGACCCGGCGCCGGGACCCTTTCCTTGCACGGCCCCCTCCCCTGCCCCCCTCTTCCAACATCCCCCCCCCTCCGGGTTCCCTACAACACACACACATACATCCATACCCCTGCTATGTGTGTGCCCATGCAGGAAGCTATGAGGCCCCCGCCCCGCTCGTGCCCCCCTTTCCCTCCCCATCTCCCCCCCATCCCCAAGCAGTGCCGCCCCCCCCAGCGGACTCTGTGTAATGACTCAATGTGTCTCGTGCCGTTCTTACAGCTTGGTGTATGGTGATTGAACCAAAACTCCTCTTATTTTGTACTCCCTCCCCCTTCCCCCCACCCCCCCCCCAGCCAATAGACGCACTGCGATATTTTGGGGTTCTTCGTTTCGTTCTGTTCCCCCTGAAGGCTGTGACCCCTTTTCCCCATCCCCCAACCCTTCTCTCTTTGCCTCGGTGGTGGTTTCCCCCTTTCCTTTCCCCGTCTGCTCCTTGCCCATAAAGTTAAAGATATATTTTTAGGGCAAAGGCTGTATCATTGCACTGATATTCGTCGGTTCCCCCGCCCCTCTTTGAGTTCCTTCAGTTTAGCCATGCTTCAGGATCCCCTACGTTGGACGTTATTATTAATTATTATTATTATTAATTTTTTTTCTGTTACGGTTATTTATATAAAAAATAATTTATCAAAAAGGAAAACTTAAAAAAAAAAAAAAAAGGAAAACAAAACTAGTCTGTCTTGGAACTTGTTTACCTTGAAGTTACTGGAAACCTAAATGTTTGGAAGTGTTGAAGCACAAACATGTATCATCTCTGTATATCTGTTCTGTACTAAAGCACTCAGTGACTCAATAAACGCGATCTCCATCTGTAGTGCACACAGGCTCTCGCTTCCACGAAGGAGAAAAGCCAACGAGCAAAACAACCCCGTTTATTCTGTTAAAAAATAGGCAGTGATCTGGGTACAAAACATGGGGGTGGTTAGGAAAGAGGTGGGGAAAAGTCGCTTTCGCTCCTCCCCGTTGCTTGAATGCAGCCCCATGGGGCATCCCTGCTTCCCCCCTTGCTCAGTGTGAGCTCTTTGAGGGGTCTCCATTAGCAATTCCCCCCCCCCTCAATAATAAGTTATTATATGCAAAAGTCTGAAGGTAATTGGGCGCTTTAGGTAGGACCTACACAACCACAGGGACCCCGCTGCTAAGTCAATGTGGTGCTGGGGGCAGGGAGGGGGGGTCAGGCTGAACCAGTGTGGGGATGGACCCCCCCTCCATGGGTGTGCAACAGCAGTTCTGCTACAAAAATAGGCATTTATTATAAAGCAGGGGGAATAGGAGTGCTGGGTCCCATCCCAGGGCTGGATCTGCCCATGCCTGGGGCTGGTTTTACTCTACCAGCCTCAAGGAAAGTCATATTGATTTGGTATTCCCAAAGAACCTGAGCGATCCTATGGTTCTATGATTCTTTGGGAATCTCCAGAAAAATTGCATTGCTTTTGGGAAAGCCGAAGAAAACACCCCTTTATTTGGTAATCCCAAAGAAAAACCACATTGCTTCTGGGTATCTCAAAGAAAATACCCATTTCTTTGGGAATCCCAAGGAAAACCTGCATTGCTTTTGGGAATCCCAAAGAAAAATCACATTGCTTTTGGGAATCCCAAAGAAAATGCACTTTTCTTTGAGCATCCCAAAGAAAACTCCCAATTTCTTTAGGAATCCCAAAGGGAACACTACCAGTCCCTTCTTTTTCTGCCTGGACACCCTCCCAGGAAGCCATGTGCAGGGAGGGACCCCAAATCCCGCCTCATTGCAGCCCTTCAACCTCACCCAGCATCATTATGAACATCACAGGGCCGTGCAGCACTAAGTTATGGGGAAAAGCTCAGCTTCCCCGAGGGTTTGTGCTGGAAATGTAAAACAAACCACGTGTATGAACCTATATATAGACACACACAGCATTATATATGGTCAACCAACCCTCTGACAATGGTACCCTGGGGAAAAATCCACATAGAAGTGTAGAGAGGAGAGTGGCCCTGGGGTACAGCAGGGTGCAGGGACAGCACCCGAAATCCAACCTCATCCCCAACCCATGGGGTCGGGCTCTGGTTGGAGCTGGGGGGGAGGGGAGGGGAGTGCAGCGTACCGAGAAACCCTAAAAATCACCCTAAAATACATTGAAAGCAGCGAGAGATGGGCTGTGGAAATGGCTCCTACTGCGCCAGCGTGGCACTGAGGTAAACACAGAGGTGTTTTGGTAGGACCTACAGAAATGTGGGAGATGCAGGACGGGTCCGGCTTGGTGCCCATTCCCACAGTATGGATGGGATGGGATGGGATGGGATGGGATGGGATGGGATGGGATGGGACGGGATGGGATGGGATGGGATGGGATGGGGTGGGATGGGATGGCATGGGATGGGATGGCATGGGATGGGATGGCATGGGATGGCATGGGATGGGATGATCCTGTTCAGAAGAGGCAGGAGCTCCGCACTGCCCGTGCCCGGCCCAGCTCTGCTGCCAGCACCTGGCCCAGCCGTCTTGAGGTGACGCGGGCACGGCGTGCTGCTGCCATTGCTGTGCTCAGAGAGAGATCCAGGTCCTCCTCCAGGTCTGAGAGCGGTGGGGAACGGGTGCGGTGTGGGGCTGAGGTAGGTGAGGTTGGAGGGCAGTACCTGGGGGGAGAGGGGGAAAGAGGGAAGGATAATGGTAGAAGGGAAAGAAGAAGGAAGAAGAGGGAGAAGAAGGAAGCAGGAGAAAGGGGAAAGGGGGAAAAGGGAAGGAAGGAAAAGGAAAAGGAAAAGGAAAAGGAAAAGGAAAAGGAAAAGGAAAAGGAAACGGAAAAGGAAAAGGAAGAGGAAGAGGAAGAGGAAGAGGAAAAGGAAAAGGAAGAGGAAAAGGAAAAGGAAGAGGAAAAGGAAAAGGAGGGGGGGAGGGGAGGGGAGGGGAGGGGAGGGGAGGGAAGGAGAGGAGAGGAGAGGAGAGGAGAGGAGAGGAGAGGAGAGGAGAGGAGAGGAGAGGAGAGGAGAGGAGAGGAGAGGAGAGGAGAGGAGAGGAGAGGAGAGGAGAGGAGAGGAGAGGAGAGGAGAGGAGAGGAGAGGAGAGGAGAGGAGAGGAGAGGAGAGGAGAGGAGAGGAGAGGAGAGGAGGAAGAAAAAGTTAAAAAAGATGAAGAATGAAGAATAAAGAAAGAAAAAAAGGAAAGAAGAGAAAAAGACAGAAATTGAAAGAACGACAAAGGAAAAAAATGAAGGAATTAAGAAAAAGGGGGAAAAAAAGAAAAAAAAAAACAACCAAAGAAAGAAGAAAAAGATGAATAAAAGAATACGGGGTCATTGTACAGCTTTGCCCCCGGGGGGCTCTGCTTCCCCATCTCTATGACAGTTTTAGGTTCCCCCAGCTCACCCTCACCCCCCATCCCCGGCTCAAGCTGACCCCCCTTCCCCCCCCCCCCCCCAACACACACACCGCTGAGCATCCTTACAGCAGTGAGGGCCCGTAAGGCACCACGGGGACGGGGGCGAGGTAGGCGACGGGAGGCCCCCCCGCCAGGTACCAACAGCCTGCGAGCTGCTCCGGCTGCACGGCCTGGGGGCGGCCGCGGGGCTCCGGCGGGGATTTGCCGTCCGATTTGCTGCGCTGGGCTGCGGGTGGGAGGCGGTGGGTGAGGTGGGTGCGATGTTCCCAGCTCTGTGCCACCTCCACCCCCTGAGGTATCACCCACCGTGCCCGGCTCTGTCCGTGTCACCGCGTGATGCCCGGCACGTTGGGCAGCTCTCGGGGGTCCTGGAGGCGCCGCTGCGCTGCGGCCGCTTGACATCGACTGATGGGGCGCCTGCGGGGATGGGGAAGGAGGCGAGGGAGGGGGAAAGTTTGTATGGAAACACGCACAGATGGAGCGAGCAGGAGCTCGGTGGGAAGCAGGAGGGACGCGATGCTCACCCGTCGTTGTCCCGTCGGGGTGGCAGCGGGGGCACGGCGCAGCGCTCGGCTCCCCACGGGGCGGCGCCACGCGGTAACGCGTCCCCCCGAACGCGGTGTCGGCGCCACCGTGTGCGTTACCCAGCGGGTCGGGCTCCCGGCGTTCAGCCGCCTGCTGTCCCCGCAGTGACACCGCACCCAGGGGGCTGCGAGGGCGTTTGTGCACGGACGGCGCGGCTCGGGGACGGCTGTCACCGTGCGCACGCAGCGAGCGGTCCGACTGGGAGGCTGCAGGGAAAGAAGCGGCTCTGCACCCCGACCCGCAAGGATGCCGGGATCCCCGTGCCCCGCACCCGGTCCCCACCGCATCCTTTCTCTTTTTGGAGAGGTCCCAGCTGTCCCCACTCACTGAAGTCTGGCGGTGTCCCATCCCGTGGCAGCGATGCCCATCTGCCTCTGGGGCCGCCCGGGGTCATCCTGCCCCGTGAGGTGGGGCTGTGCTCCCTGCGGAGGGCACGGAGCCATTAGAGAAACCAGGACGTGGGGCACAGCACTACGGCAGGACCCAGCCGGCAGCAGGGAGGCACAGGGAGATATCTGAGGTGTGCAACCCTCAGCGAGTTGCTACCAAGGGATCCCACCCCAGTGTCATGGGAACACCTTTGTGTACCCCCACTTGGGCTGGGAACGTGGACCCCTCTGAGCCAACCCTGCTCAGGCTGAAGGAAAAAAGGCTAGGGGAAAAGGGGATGGGGCTAGGGAAAAGGGTTAGGGTTAAAGCTAGGGAAATGGGTTAGAGTTAGAGCTAGGAGAAGAGACAGGTGCTCCAGGTGCTCCAGACCCCCCAACCCAGTGCTCTTTGGGGACAATCTGGTCTCTGCTCGGCTACCTACCCCACAGGTGCTGCATCCCGGAGGAATGAAGCTCTGCTGGCTGCTGCCTGCCTCCTCCCCTTGGGGATGTGGGGGGCTCTGCCCTCAGGGTAGCTGTGGGACCGGTGCAGGCTCTCCTCCAGCCGCAGGCGCAGTCGCCAAACCTCGTCCTGCAGCGCACGGATGGCCCGGCTGTAGGAACAGGACAGGGGATGATGGGGGGATGATGAGAGGACACTGAGGAACAGGGACAGCCCCAAGTCCCCCAACCCATCGCTGCGGGACACAGCTGGGGGCCCTTCCATACAAACCTATGCTGTTTAGCAGTGGGTGTACCCACAGCCAGCACAGAGCCAGATCAGATCACACACGTCATGAATTTGGCAGACTCAGCTCTCATCAGGAGCCACTATTCCCAGTCAGCCCCCCATCAAAAGGGACAACCTGCACTCTCAGGGACTCCCCCACACCCTGTACTGGCAGGGCTGGGGACACTCACTCGCGCTCCATGCGGGATCCCAGCAGGTCACAGTGAGCCGGAGCTGGGGATGGCGAGGCGGGCATCCCACCCGGGGGGTGCCCACTGGTGCAGCTCCTGTCTCCTCCTTCTGAGTCAGAGCGAGCTGGGGGGCAGAGATGGGGCAGTCAGTGGGGCAGCGTGGGGCATGGGCACAGCTGGGGGCTGGGAACTCACCATCATCACCCTCAGGTCCCAGCTCACTGCCCTGGCTGCCGGCCCAGCGCAGTGGAGAGCTGCTCGGCGAGGGAGTGCTGGGGGGCACGCTGTGGCCTGGGGGAGGGCCGTGCTCAGGGGCTGGGCAGGGACCCCTCAGCCCCTTCCTGAGGGGCAGCAGCGGACCTTCCTTCTTCTGCGGATGGAGAGGAGCGGGGACAGGAGGTTCGAGCACGCCATGAGTCCTGGGGAAGGATGTGTCAGTGAGGCAGCCCCCACTTCCCACCCACCCCACCCCACTGCCTCTTCCCCCCTGCTGCCCCATGGCATGGAGCAAGCTCGGGGTGCTGGTGCTGTACCCAGTGCCCAGTGGTCGATGCTGAGGGGTGCGTGCCAACAGGGACACCCGGCTGCTCTCCGAGCCCACGAAGCCACTGTCCGTCTCCGGTGACACCATGCGCTGCTCCTGTGAATGGAGTGGGACTGGGGCCACGTGTCCCCTCCCCAGGCACGGGGACGGCCTCAGGGAACCCCCCAAGCACCCCACCTGCTGGCAGGGCTTGAGGGCATGGCGCTGAGGGGCTGTGCTCCCCGTCCCACTGCTGCGGCGGGACGGGGCTGTGCGCGATGGCAAAGGTTCAGGGAATGCCAGCGGGAGCCTGGAGGTGGATGGTGGCAGCGGGGTGGTGACAGGGGACAGGCGGCCGTAGGTCCCCTGTGGGTGTGGGGGTTCGGTGTGGGGCAGCGGCACTGCTTTCCTCTGAGGGGGGGGCCTGTGGAGAGAGGAGTGAGAGCAAGGACCAGGCGTGCCATGGGGGCTGTTCACCCCGAATCCACCCAACTGCACCCACACTTACGAGGGGGAGGTCTCGTGGTCGGTGCCCTCCTCCAGTGACTGTGTCCCACTGAGGACCCCCCCTGGGCCGCCATCCCCTCCCACGGTGCCACCAGCCTCCTCCAGAGCTGCGCTCCCCGTCAGGCTCAGCTGCTCCAGGCTCAGTGATGCCGGCAGCGATTTGAGGTGCTGGTACCTGTGGGGTGTGGGCAGGTTTTGGGATGCTCCCCCCCCCCCAGTGCCCTCCACCTCCCATTGAGGGACACTCACTGCTGCAACAGATCCCCAAAGTCCCCCTCTGCTTGGAGCTGCTTGTGCCGTAAGGGTCGGGGCGGCCCCACTGCCACCACCTCGGTGTCCCCCGCTGTCTCCCCGGTGCTGGGGGGGCCCTCTGTCACCACATGGCTCCCTGGTGCTGCCCTCTCCAGGTGCTCCTTCAGCTCCTCCAGGCGCATCCCCAGGCAGAAGATGTCCCCTTCCACTGTGCTGCAACACAGTGCCCATCATCAGGGGGGACGAGGGGCTGGGGCTGCTCCCACGCATGGCTCAGAGCAGCACTGCAACCCCAGGGAATGCACAACCCGTGCTCACCGCTCCGGGTCGAAGTTCCCCGTGTCCCCAAGGCTTTGCTCTTCCCGTGCTTCCAGGTACGCCCGCTCCAGTGCATCCTGTGTATCCTGCAGCCTCTGGAACCGCTGCTGTGCAAAGGGAGCCCCCAAACCTCCCTGCAGTGACTCCACAGCACTGGGGCTGCACCCTTTGGGGTTAGGGATGCAGAAAGAGATAGGAGCTTGGGGGGACAGGATGGGAATGAAATGGGCCACTTTGGGAACAAGACAGGCCCTTGGGGACAGGATGGAGTATCTAGTGTGGGATGGGGTCCCTAGGGATGAGATAGGGCACCTGGGAATGGGATGGGGCCTTTAGGGATGGGTTGGGGCACCACACAATGCTGTACCTGGAGCTGCTCCTGTGGCACAGAGCTCCCTGCTCGGATCCAGGCTTCAAAGGAATCCACCTGGGTGGGAGAGAAGGGGCTGAGCAGGGTTAGGAACCCCCTGCTGGGGGCTGTCCCCCTGACTTACCTGCGCTTGAAATTTGCGGGTCTGCTCTGCCAGTGTCCGTGTGAGCCGTGGCCCTGCACAGCAGCACGGCCCCACGCATGTGGGGCAGCCCCCCAGGGGGGAGCGAGGAGAGCAGGGCTGGGATGCTGCCCCCCGCTCTGCTGGTTGTGGCGCTGGAGCTGCAATTGGACACAAAAGGGAAGCAGAGCTGGCGACCTCCAGCACCGTTTCCCCTGCTACCGGGGCACCTGTGGGGTGGTTGGGTTTGGAGCAGGAGGTTTCCTGGCTCTCAGCTCACCTCCACCCACAGGGAGCTGCGGGTTTGGGGCTGTGCTGATGGCTGCGGCGCTGGCCCGTGGGATGCTGAAGGCCATCACCCTGCAGCCACCACTCATGGTGCCGGCGTGGGCGCTGCGGCTGGCACACGGCGGGTCTGCATACAGGTTCACCTGGGGGCAGAGACAGCAGGCACTGCACCGGGGGCACCTGAACCCCATTGCAACAAGGCCGTGAGGGGTGTCTAGTTTGGAACCTGGAGCACTCTGCCTCAGTTTCCCCACCTGCACAATGGGGGAAGCGCAGGAGGATGAAAGGATGCCCAGAGCCCTGCAGAGCACCACATCTGTCCCCATCCCCATCCCCCCCACCCCTATATTGGGAGACATCCCCACATCCCTCCCCACCTTGGCCCCCAGCCTCAGCTGGTCAATGGTGTTTTCGGCCTCGGCGTACTTGGTCAGCAGCTTGTGGTAGTCATCCTGCGGGGGGCACACGTCACCATGTCATGGGGAGGGGAACTGTGGGGTGTACAGAGCTGCCACACCTGCACAGCTGGTGTGGATGTAGCCTTGCATGGGGGGGTGATGGGACCATCCCTCCCCTCCCAAGGGACAGAAGAGCATCAGGAGAATCCTGGGGAGGGGACAGGAGCATTCCTAGGGGGACATGAGCATCCCAAGGGTGTGGAAATGAGCATCCTAAGCCACGGAAGGGGACAGGAACATCCCTTGGGGAAACAGGAGAAACCAAAGGTGAACAAGAGCATCAAAGAGGAGACAAGGGCGTCCCAAGGGGAACATGGGCATCCTGGGGTGATGGGACAGGAGCAGCTCTACGTGTGGATATAAGCAACAAAAGGGGGTACACGTGCATCCCTAGAAGGGGACATGACCATCCCACAGGGCATATATCCTAGTCCAGCTCTGGGGTTACCTGCAGTTGCTGCACCAGCGCAGTGGCCTGCCTGGGGGAGCGGAGCTCCTGTGGCACTCCGGAGGGGGCAGAGGGTCGTGGTGGGGCCCCCTCCCCACTGCTCAGCAGCACCTCCCGGACGATTTCGGCGGGGGATTTGGGGACAAGGGGACCTCCGTGGGGCCTGGCACGGGCGGACAGGGCCCTGCTGGGTGGGGGGCGGTAGCTCTGCCCCACCTTCACCCGTGCTTCCACCTTGGAGAGGTCAGGCAGGGGGTGGTTGAGCCGCCCTCGGCCATATGGGCAAATGTCCGTGGGGTCCTTTGGCTTTTTGGTGTCGGTGTGATGCCGGGGGCTGGGGGACAGCCGACTGGGTTTGGGCTGCTGCAGGGCTTGGGAGCTCTGATTGGGGTCCTTGGCTTTGCCCCAGCCCCGGCGCTGGAGGGGAGGAGTCATGGGGACAGGACTGGAGTCCGAAGGCCCTGAAGTGCCACCACCATCCGTGGTGGTACCCAGGACTTTCAGAGGGGTCTCAGCATAGGGGTCCCCATCGCTTTCTGTTCCCCAGGGCCCCTCTGGCCTCTCGTCCTCCTCAGAGCTGCCCTGTTCTTCTTCCTCCTCCTCCTCCTCTGTCAGATCCTGCTGTGCATACCAGCGTGGCTCTGCTGGGGACTCCACATCCAAGTCCTCGCCGTCCCCTGCAAAGCAGCACTGCCACCAATGTGTACCATCCCCCAGTCCCCCACCACCCAAGGACTCCTCCCGGCGTGACTGTCCCTTCCCCAAGGCTTTAGGGGCAGCAGAGGATACTCACCCCATACTGGGCTTCCAGCTGCCTCCTGTCCCCACTCAGAGCCTGAGTCCTGTGGATCGCTGAGCCCCGCTGTGGCAGCCCCCAGCCCAATGACACCGTTCTCATCCATGTGCTTCTCAAAGTCTTCTTCCTCCTCCTCCTCCTCCTCCCAGCACTTGGGTTCCTGGCTGCCCAGCTCCGATTGAGTCCAGCGCAGCCAAGGCGAGGAGCTGCCCATGGCGTCCTGCACTGTCCTTGTCACTTGTGCCACCCCATGGCACCGCAGCAGCTGGGGTCCTCCTCATCACCAGTGTGGCTCACATCGCTGCTTGCCATCCTGGGGGGAGGGAAGGAGGGTGCTAAACAGGCTCTGTTCGAGGGCACCAATCCAAGCTGTGCCCCGATGTACCCCAGACAGTCACAAGCCCACAGCAGCGAGAACCAGAGCTGGGGGACAGGACGGGTGCCCTGCTAGCGGGACCTGCCCTTCAGAGCTGTGTCCCCAGGGTTCCCATAGCAGCAGCTCCAGGGACAAAACACAGCCATGGGGCGGGGACAGAGCGCTGCAGGGTTATTGTGCTGAATGGCGCTGAGCCACTGATCCTGAGGGCTCCACAGCCCCCAGCCCAACCCCACGCACCCTCAGGATGTCACCACACGGCCACCAGCACGGCACAGAGAGAAGGTCTTTCAAGAGGATCACAAGGCACAGCAAGGACGTGGCACCACCGATGGGCACCAGAAATCGACCCCCTTTGAGAACTGGGATACAGCTGACACAGCGAAGGCAGTCTGACAGCAGCCCTTTCCTCCTCCCCCCTTCCCTCCACCCGAGCTGCCGCTGCTGATTAACATGACAACAGTGATGGCACCGTGCCCCCACGCATGCAATGAGTGCAGGGTTCTCAGCCCCACACCTCCACCCTGAGGGGGGGATGTGGGGCAGAGCTCATCCCACCCTGCGTCACTCCCACCCCAGGCACATCTGGGGCAGCCCCAGTGGCACACAGAGGTGGAGGGGGGGTTCAGAGGCTTGAATGTTCCCCCGCTGATGTTTTGCATTTCTCTTCAGCTCCAAGTGCAAAACCCGAGCATTCCAAGAGCAAGGGTAGAAACCACACATTTGGGATTGTTTTGCTTTGTGGTTTCTGAGCGCACAGCTACGTTGGGTTATTCTTTCAGGCCTTCTTATGCCACTGTAAGAGCAAGCAGCTCATTTAGAGGAGAAAAAGCAAAAAAAAAAAATCAAAGGAAAAGAAAAAAAAAAAGAAAAAAGGATTTTTCCCTCTTACCATCATGTCATTTTGGTGGAGGGGCTTTCAGGAAAAGTGACAGATGTGGCAGAACCTTGCTGCATGGGGATACTGCAGGTGATTCAAAGCTCTCCCAAGTAAAGGCTGAGCCCACACAGCAGCAGCACTGGGGGTCAGGCATCCACTTCCCCCCACCCCCCAGAATCTCACTGTGCAGGGCTCTGGGGATCCCTGCCCCCCCCCAGGGCTGATGCTGGAGCACAGCTGTAGAGCTTGGGGCCGCTTTCCCTTCTCCATGCCAGGATCTGAAATTGGATGCATCCCAACCCCACCAGGGACCGGAGCCAAAATTGCTCTTTAGTCACATTGAGAAGATGCAGAGCCCAAAGCATCCCTGGGAGCACAGACATGGGGAAGAGCCTTGCGGTGGGGAGAGCTGCCCTGCTGGGGCAGCATATAGGGAAAAGCCTCGTGCTGCTTCCTCTAGGGCTGCTGGGGCCCTGCTGGAGGGTTTGGAGTGTGCTCTGTGCCCACAGTGCCTGGGGGAAGCAGAGCGGGGCGGTGGGAGAATTGCATGCACCCCTGATGTTGGGCAGCTCTGCTGCATGCAGGTCTCACCCCAACAGTAGGATTTAAGTAGGGATTTGCAGCTCTGGGGCTGTGGTGTGGATTAGAGGCTTTTCCTGCAGCATGCAGGTGCTGCAGGGTTGTGGCCATCCCCAGGGCACCACTTGGGGACCTCCAGATACACCCTGGGCCGAATACCTCCACCACTTGGCCATGCTGAGGTTTCAATAGCAGCCGGGAGCTGTGCAAGCTCTGCTCCGCGTGCCGCTAATTACACTCTAACGGGCTGGATTAATTACCCTGCTGAGAGAACGACAGGGTGTGCCACATCTTGGTGACAGCCATGGGGACAGAGCAGGGAGACTCCCACCTCCACCAACCCTGCAGAGTGCCATCCATGGAGCAATGGGGAGCAAGCATCATTAGAGGGGGGTCGCTCAGCCCCCTCAGCCCCAGCTGCAGCCGAGGCCTTTCAGAGCGGGTTCCCGGACCACGAAGCAGCATTCACGCCTCGGTGAACTGCAGGAACACTGCTCAGAGCTCCGACGGCCCCGCGGGGCTCAAAGCCGCGGGGGAGGGAGGTTGGAGGCTCAGTCCCGGCTGCTGCCTGCAGGGAGCGGGTTTCGGGGTAGAGCGGCTTTTTGTCTGAACACGTTTGCACTCAAACCACTTTTTGGGGTAAGGGGGAAAGGGGGGTCATGCAGGCCAAAAGAACGCTGCTGTGCCTCAGGCTCGGCAGGGGACACCGGCAGCTCAGCGGGCACTCGTTCCCGGTTCGTAAAAACAACGGGGAAAACAGCGCAGCAAGAAAAGGCGTGAGGGATCCCGCGGTGCTGCCTGATCGAAACCCCCCCCGTGTCCCCCACCGGCCCCAGTGGGACAGCAAAGCTCCCACATCCCGATCCTTAGAGCTGCGGGTCCCTTTGGGGACGAACCCCAACGCAGCGGGGTGGGCGAGGTGACAGCCACGGCTGCGCGATAGCGATCACCGTGCGACCCGCAGCCCGGGGTGGGATGGGGATGGAGGGCGATGCTCGCCGCCGTCGGGCCGGACGCGGGGCAGCGCTGCTCGGGGCGGCCCAGAGATGTCACAACCCCAGCGGGAGCGCAGCCGGGTGAGCTCAGCGCCTTCCTCGAAACCAGGAACTGAAGCTGCCGGCGGCCCCCGCCACTTCCTCGCAGCAACAGCAGCGGCAGCCCCCGCTCCCCCCTTCCTCCTTCCCTCCCTCCCTCCCGCCGACCCACGGACGCACCCGAACCCCTTCCGGACGCACAGCTCATGCAGTACCGCTGCTCGGAGCTCCATCACGACTCCGGATCTCCGGCCGCCTCCCATCGCAAAACCTCTCCAGGATGGGGGCCTTTGGGGCCGTGCCCCCCCTTCCGTACAGGGAGGAGCGGCGCTGCGCGGCGTTGGCCCCGCTCCCAGTGCCTGCCCAGCTCCGGGCCGCACTCCATCCCCCCACCCTCCTCCCTTCCCATCACAGTTCCATCCCCTCCACTCACTTGTAGGCACGATCCTCCCCCCCCAGCCCCTCTCCGTTCCGCTCCCGGCCCCGCTGCACAATAGCGCGGCCCGAGCCGGGGTGGGCGTGGCCTCGCGTTCATCCCCGGCCCCGCTTCATTCCTCCAATCGCAGCGCGCCGTCAGAGCTCGTTAGCATAAAGATCGCTCTTTGCTTTCATTTGCATAGCCTGGGCGAGACGGCCAATGGGAGCGCGGAAAGTGTTGCTGATCATCATAATTTATGCAGCGCGGGCACCCCCTGGCGGCTGCTGAGCCGCGCCGCGCCGCGCCCCATAGGCACCCCAATACCGCCCTATAACCGCCCGTTTATTGAAAAACTAAAGCCAAGCTCTGTGTATAAATACAATGACAGCGGCAGCAAGTCACAAGGCGTCCGGCTGCTCTCTGCGTGCTCATCTTTCCACCTCCTCCCCCTCACCTGGCACCAGAATGACCGCGGGGACATAGGGTTAGTTTACCCCCCCCCCCGGGCATAGGGCACCCCTGCCCCAAAGTGGGTGCGAGTCTGTCCGTTCTCAGCCCCGTGGGGGACAGCTGGGGACGGTGTGGGATTCTGCGTGTGCATTGCGGTGCAGCAGTGGGGGGGGGGGGCACCGGTGCCCCCACGTCGCCTCCCATTCCCATCCGGGTGCCCCCCGGGTCCCACGTGGCTCCTAAAGGGCGACGTTGAACTCTGTAACCAGGAAATCGATGTAGTCCTTCTCCTTCAGCTTGAATGCCTCGGCGATGATGCGGGCAGCCTCGCGGTGCTCCTTGCCCCGCAGCCCCGTGCCGTTCACCTCCAGGATGACGTGGCCCACCTTCAGCTGCCCGCAGTTGTGTGCTGAACCGCCGCGCTGCAAAGGAGGGACGGGCTCGGCTCTGCCCTTCTGCTGCTGTAACTTGAGGTTTGCTCCAAGCAAAGAGCAGAGCAGGCTGCACCCGAGGGCAGAGCTGCAGGTGCTGCTCCCCAGCCCTCATCCACCATTCTCCCTTCCCCAACCCCCACACTTGGCACGTTCTTGGGGCTGCCCACATCCCCTGCACGTCTGCAGTGAGCCCTCCATTCCCGGGACACACCTTATGTTATGGGATCAGCCACAGCACGTGAACAACCCTCCACTCCTCAAGTCCTCCCTAACAGAATGGAGGCATCCCGAAAATCCCCCCTGGGCAGGGCTGGAGCCACACGGCTGACAGCAGGTGACTGTGGGGCTTTCCCAAGCCAACGGGGAGCACAGGGCTGGGACGTGTGCCGAGCTCTCCCGATCCTCAGCTCCCCCTACCTGTATGGTGACGATGCGGGGCAGTGGCTGCCGCGTGTTCGCTCCGCCCTCGATGGCGATTCCCAAGGTCGGCGCGCTCTTGGACACCCGGATCAGACACGAGGTGGGCTCCAGGAGCCCTGGCTGTGGGCACAGGGCAGTGATGCTGAGGGGCTCCTGCCACCCGCTGCAATCCCACAGCACACAAAGGCAGAGGGAAAGACGCTGCGCCAGCGCCTCACCACCCTCACTGTGAAGAATCTCTTCCTGAAGTCTAATCTCAGTCTCCCCTCTTTCAGTTTAAAACCATTCCCCTTTGTCCTGTCAGCGATGTTCTCTCCTTTGATCCCTGACCCCAAGCTCCCCCAGCACCCATCCTCACCGGTTTGGAGGCCCCTTCTGCTGTCCCCTCACTCCTTGTGCCCTCCTTGAGGCTTCTGCTTTTCCCAGGGACCGGCTGCCTGCTCTTGTCCTTGCCGCTGACCTCCACCTCGCCGATGTCCACCCCGCTGTCCTCGCTGAGGGTCTGCCCGCTGTCTGACAGCTGGGAGAGCGTGGAGGCTGCGGAGAGATGTGGGCTGTTAGAGGGGGGTTGGATGATAGGACTGATTGTGCCAGGACATCTCCTCTGCTCCCGGGGCTGGGCAGGTCCCCCCTGCTTGGACCTCATTTTAGAGCGAGGTTCCCAAGTGAACCCATCCCAAAGAGCAGAGATGTGCGTCGGGAGCACCAAGTGCCCCCAAGTTTGGATTCGGGATTCAGTTTGGGTCATGAATTGGGGTGGTTGGGAGAGGACGGTGAGCTCGAGGATCCTGCTGGAATTACTGCGAGCCAACCCAGAGCCTTCCCCTCCTGCTCTGGAAGCACGAGCTGCCAGACTGGGGCTTCATCCCCTTGGAGGATGCAGGATGTGGGTGCAGAAGGAGCCTGGAAATGGGCATCGGGAACCCTTGCAGGGAGGACTGAAGCCCTGGGAATGTCCCCTTTGGAAGCGTTGGGTTCCACCGCTCGAGCAGGACGGTGCCTGAGGCAGGTGTTCGTTCCTCTCGTTACCGTGATTAACGAACTAATTGCAGTGGGAGAGCGGTGCCACGGGAGGGCGGCAGTGCCACTCTGAGCATCCTCACGGCCCTCTTCTGGACCCACTCCCACAGCCCCACACCTCTCCGTGCTGGGGGCAGCGCTGCAGGTGGGGCCGCAGGAGGGCAGAGGGACAATCTGCTCCTTGCCCACTGCCTGCCCACTACTGATGCAGACCAGGATGCAAGCACACATAGCTGCTTAATGTCCAGCTTTCTATCCATCAGGGCCCTCAAGTTCTTCTCTACGGGGCTGCTCTCAAGGAGTTATTCTCCCAGTCTGTACTCATGTCCGTCTAAATGCAGCACCTTGCACTTGGCCTTGTAGGACCTCATTAGGTTCATGTGGGCAAGCCTGTCCAGGTCCATCTGCATGGCATCCCCTCTTTCTGCGGTGTCAGATGCACCACAAAGCAAACTTGCTGAGGGTACAACTTGATACCATTGTCAAGGTCTTTGATAAAGATGTTCACGAGCATCAAGCTGGAGCCATGGGGAATACAACTCCTGACCAGTCTCCACCTGGACACAGAGCCATTGACTACAGCCCTCTGGCTATGACCATCCAACCAACTCTTCACGCACCAAACAGTCCAGCTTTCACATCCATCTCTCTCCAACAGGCTGCTGGTCAGATCAAAGGATGTTGCCTCCTGCAGGACGCACTCCCATCCCACAGTCCAGCACTGGGACTGTGTGAGCAGATGAGCCCCCAAGCTAAAGCCAAACTGGACTTACAGCCAACACCCCAATAAACAAAGCAACGGGGACCCTCCAATTTTGCCTTTACCCTGGCAGTACACCCACCTCGAGCCTGGGGCAAGGGCCTCACTTCGTTGACATCGGGCTCGCTGTTGGGTTGGTGCACCTCCACCATGATGAAGTGCTGGTTGGCCTGAGGGCTGGGAGGAGGGGGAGCGGGGTGGGCTGGGGGTGGAGGTGGGGATGGGGACGCGGGGCTTTGGCAGCCGGCAGCCGCAGGGCCATCTGCAGGAGGGCTGGTCAGCCTGGTGGGGGACTGCACCCTGGGGAAGGGGCCGATGGGGGGATGGCTGAGCAGGGAGAGCTGGGGGTCCATTTGCCGTCGGGAGCCACGCGGGGTTGGGGAAATGGTGGCATAGATGGCGCTCGGGGAGGATTCCTCGGTGGAGGTGGTGGCAGTGGAGGCCACGCTGATGGTGTCCTTCTCAGAGTGGCTCGGAGGGGGTGTGGGGTTTCGGGGGGCCACAAAGAAGAGGCCTGACTGGGAGGACTCGGAGGAAGGGCGCTTGGGTTTGTCCTTCCCCGGGTTCCTGTGCTGGGCAGCGGAGGGGTCCAGCATCTGGGGGGCTGTGGGAGGAGGGGGAGGCTTGAAATTGGGGGGTTCCTCTGGGAAGGACGAGAGGTCATCCTGCCAAAGCAAGAACAGAGCCAGTCACGCACCCAGGGCAACACTAAAGCAGCTGATTTGCACAGAAATATCTTTCGGACAGTATTGGCAACATGACTCACAAAGGAGGACAATTAGAGGACAAACCACCCAACTTCTGCCTGGTTCCTGTAAGCACAGATGCTACTCATACTCAGACACCCTGAATCCTTCTTCCAAAGCAGTTTGGTTGCTTTACTTCAGCAACTGCAGTGGCACCAGGGGTCGGTGACAGAGCAAATTGCTACAGAACTTGGGGTAACACTCAGTATCATCAATAACCAAAGGTGAGCTGTCTTACCAGAGAGATGTCTGGCAGGGTGTTGATGCTGCTCTGCTGGCAGTCTTCACCTTCCTCCAATTCTGATGTGTTCTAGCAAGGCAAATGCAGAGAAAACCTGGTCATGGCAGCGACAAGAGATCACTGAAATGCCAGCACAATAGGGAACATGCAGAGCGATGAAGGGCATTGCCTAAACCCCCTGCAAGCACCCCTCACTCAGAGGTATTTATTTCCTGGAGAATCACAGACCATACAAACAAACAACTCAGTTGAGAAACGGCCTCTCCCAAGCTGCTGGGAGAGTAGCCTGCAGGGAACCATCCTCTGCAGCAGGGCAGTGGGCTCCTCTGAACCCAAACCTGTGTTTAGTTTGGAGAGAGGGGAGAAAAGAGCTCTGAGGGCGTCAGGTTCAGTACCTGGATCTTCCCTGGAAGGCAAGCAATGAAAAAGACAGAATTTCCCTCAGCAAAGGAGAGCGGTCAGTCTTAATGCAAATAGAAGCTGCTGCCGTTGCTGAAGAATTGAAATGTCATTAGAAAAGGTCAGAACACAGCTCAGAACACGTCCTGGCCAGAGAAAGTCAGAAAAAATCCAGCGTGCTGCAGTTCCCCAATAGGTGCTGCAGCAGCTCCTGGTTCTGAGGAGACCACTGCTGTTCACTGAGGGCTGACTGCCTTCCCATCACATAGGGCTGTTTGCTCATCTGTGCTGGAACAGGCAGGGTACAGTTTGTGTTCAAATGCACGTTATTTATTGCAGGACAAACAACTGATTAGCTGCAAAGCTGGTGCATCTGCATTTTGCCCATCTGCTGGAGGCTACTGCTGTGCCTGTAAGATGTCAGCGTCCCAAAATAGATGCGGGAGACAATTAAAAGCATTAGAGAAGCAGT